TCGTAAAAAATAAAGATTAATGAAAATATAAATACATTTTTTGTATCCTAATGCCCAATTTCTTCACTTCCAGATAAGTTGTGAATAACCTTATCCAAGAGATATCTTCATTGTATTCTAGGAGATATCTCCTGGATAAAGTTATCTAGAGGTGAAGAAATTGAGTATAAATCGTTTTACTGCCTAATAGATAGTTAAAAACAAAATTATCTTAAAAATTATCTAGGTAAAAATTTTTTTAATTTCATCTTTTATCTAGATTAATGTAAAGTTAATCATTCTTATCTAAGATACGTTTTTTATTTATCTTAGCTATATCTAGATAATTTTTAATTATCTATGCGTAACACTGTAAATATATATGTATATATATATATTCTTCGCATTATATATATATATATATATAATATATATGAGAAGAATCCCTTAGGATTACCGAACGTTTCTTAAACCACAATTGATAAAATCTGGGCATAATTTCTCCACGATAAAATTATTAAAATGCTTTTTAAACAATTAAATGAATATAAAAATATATAACGAGATTATATAATCTAATTAAATTAATTTTAAAAATGTACAAAAGAATATTAAAGTATATAAAAATATAATAAGAAATAAAGATATATATAAAGGAGGATAATTAAATGAAATTAATATATATGTTAAAAATCTGGGAAAATGCGATAAACTAACAAAATTCAAAATGCTCTTGAAATATTTAGGATACTCTATAAATACGTATTGTTGTTCCAGATGCGTGTAAAAATATGGTGAAGATATGTGATAGCGAGGATTGCGTGCGAATAGGTAAGTAATATACAATTATTATACTAATGAGGTAATTATATGTATAAACTTGCACTATTATTTACAAACATTGTATAAAACGATAAAAAAAAGAAATATATGGAATTACTGTCCTGAAAATGGTAAAAGTATCGATTAGAGGACCAAGTTCCAATGACCTTGACCTTGACATATATTGTCAAAGTCATGACCCTGAATGATCTCTAACAAGTTTTAGCCGTCGCTCGTCCTTTGTTAAAAAGTTATCAACAAAAAAAGTTTGAAAAAATAATGTCTTATTTCGGTTATATTGTACATAATATCAGAAACTATTTTAGACTACATCCACCTACTGCATTCCACCTGCCCCATTGCCTAGAGATGCGTGACTTTCCACGTGAACACAAGTTCACTGCTTTAGCAGAAAATTTGTTTTTAATGCGAAGAATTTGTCTGTTTAAAGGAGGGTAAAAGTACAGATTAGGAAACACAGCCCCTTGGCAAGGGGGAGGTGGGAGTAAAAACGCTTTGCGTGGAAAGTTGTATTCTTTGAATTCCACCTCATACCTCTCTCTGCGTCTAAAATTATCTGACTTTTCATATAAAGCAGGGAAATAATTACTAAAAAGCTTTAATAAAGCAGGCATTATCGATATTGGCCGTTACATATAAATCCTAAATTTCATTGATCATGACATATATACTTATATAAGACGTTATTTTTTCAAACTTTTTTTGTTGATAATTTTTTAACGAAGGACGAGCAACGGCTAAAACTTGTTGGAGATCACTCAGGGTCATGACCTTGACAACATATGTCAAGGTCAAGATCATTGCAGTTTGGTCTCCTGATCGATGCTTTTACCCTGGCAACAATTATTTATTCTTCTTTGTCCACTTAGCTGCTAGTTTGAAGGAATCTATGAACGAGTCTGTAGATCCTTGCGACGATTTTTATCAGTGAGTAGACTTATTGTCGGCGCAGCGCGCGGCGTGCGTGCTATTATGTTGTATATTGGTCGTGTGATGCGCATCTCGTAAATAGTATATTATTCATAAAATTTCCATATCATTCTTCAAATTTATTATTTCTGTGTCACGCAAATCCTGCACTCGCGTGTTTCGTTTTCAATCGTTTATATGAAATATTGATTATGTCATGAATTAATCAGCTTTTTCTAGAATAGTAATTGAGGCTGATATCTTATTATTACACTAGTTTATAAAAAAAATTTTTTTTCAATTATTTTGGACCGGACTACGTGTCTCTTATAGATTTTTGGATGCTGAAACCGATGCCACAAGCGAAAAAATTTTAGATCGTCAGATTTCCAAGATAATTGAGATTTAATATGTAAAGAATGGCTTTTTTGGCGATATTTTACATTTTTTGTATGAAGAAGGTGAACGATATCTTGAAATTTCGATCAGAAGTAATGAATGTATTGTTAATTCCCTTTAAAATACATTTTTTTTAATTTCAATATCTTACTTTTTAGCTATGTTATGAAGGATTAAAGATAGGAATTATTTCGAATATAGGGACTCTGGCAGCGTTATATGTGCATGCGGATTAATTTTTTAAGGTCACATTTTGATAACTGTACCTTAACACTTTTATACACAGAATTATGAGACTAATCCACTGGTGTAATGAAAATACATAATTGCTTTAAAAAAAATATACAATTTGTAATATGCAACTACATATCTTTTTTATAAAACAACTCTCTCTCTCTCTCTGTCTGTTTGTCTGTCTATAAGTGTTAAGGTACCGTTATCAAAATGTTAAAAAATTAATCCGTATACACATATGACGCTGCCGGAGTTCTTATATTCAAAATAGCTCCTATCTTTAATTCTTCATAACATGATTAAAAAGTAAGATATTGAAATAAGAAAAAATGCATTTTAGAGGGGATGAACAATACATTCACTTCTGATCGAAATTTCAAGATAACGTTCAGCTTCTTTATAAAAAAAATGTCAAATATCGCTAAAAAAAATCATTTACATATTAAATCTCAATTATCTTGGAAATCTAACGTGCTAGAATTTTTTCGCTTGCGGCATCGTTTTCAACATCCAAAAATCTATGAGAGACACGTAGTCCGGTCCAAAGTAATTTTTTTTGGTGTAAACTAATGTTATTAATCCACTTATTTAATTAATTGAAATTATGTTGAGAAGGGCTACGAACCATAAGAATAGATTGAATATAAATAATAAGTATAATATAATTATAATAGGATAATACCACCCACACACAAGAGTGCGCACTTTTTCTTTGAGGCTATGTAACTTGTACAAGGACCCGAGTTTGTACAGTAAAGAGGTGCTTAAATTATTCTTAATATTTTAAACTAAAAATTTGTTAACTATTAATTTAATACTATCACTTGCTTTAAAGGAGATTAATTCTATTAAGAAAAAACTCTTGAGCAAGTGTCTTCTCAAGAATTCGCATTAGTTCGCACAAGAGTTCGCACTATGAAAAAAGTGTGACTTATTAGAAAAGTAATGTTAATTAAAGTAAAAGTAGCATTTATTTTCATTAAAAAGACATTTATAAATACCTGAGTGTATTTTTACATACAGAGTTCACACAAGTAAGTTTTTGATCGACAGTCGATCACGGCGCATTCGATATGGGCTCAGAATCAGCAGCTCTGGCACTCGATCTAATTTTCACCGGATTTAGAATTTGAATAGAGACCGTTACAAAATATGTTACCGATGATCGGTGTCTGCCAGTGCTGCTTATGTGCGAACCTTGAGCTGTTTTCAAGTGCGAACTCTTGAGTGATCGTGTCACATTTTACTTTTAATGTAACTATATAAAAATTATTACAGATATTAAATAAATATATCACTAAATATGAAGCAGAGACATGCATGCACACAATATAAATAGTACAGATTCACAAAGCAACAATTTGATGTAGAAATCGATCAATTTATCCATGAAAAATATAGAAAGAAAGTGATCAAAATCATAAAATTTAAAATATCATTTATATCGCTGCAACGATCACAACGATTTTTTATACACAGATTGGCAAACTAAAACGGCACATTCTGTGTGAACTACAGCTCTTACGATTTAATAGTTTCGTTGTAAAGCTCAATGCGAACTCTTGAGCGATGTGCACTTTGAGTGGTCTTACATTAAACACTAAACAAAATATAAGAACTATGCACATGACGTTTCGACTCCGATCGGATCATTATCAATGTTAAACATGTAATAAACAATTGATATAAACATATTTAAATTATAAACGGTTTAATACTAAAACTGATAAGAAGATTATATTATACTTATTATTTATTTTCAATCTTATTCTTATGGTTCGTGGCCCTTTTCAATATAATTTCAATTAATGTATATCAGTATATCAGACACAAAATTCCTATATCATTTTTAAAATTTATCATTTCTGTGTTACGCAAATACTGCACTCGTGTGTTTTGTTTTCACTCGTTTATATGAGACATCGATTGTGTCACGAATTAATCCGCTTTTTCTAGAATAGTAATTGACGCTGATATTTTATTATTATTGATTCACTTATTTAATTAATTTCTAAACTTATTTAATTAAATAATTTTTAATTTATACATTTATTATCTTTGTAGTATGCGATGCTTTCTCTCTTTTTTTAGATACGCGTGCGGTAGATGGTCGCAGGAGCATCCTATTTCGGATTACAGCTCGATGAATGACTGGTTTATCGAGCGCAATAATCGCATGAACAGAAAGATCAGAGATCTACTAAAAGTCAATATGTCTGCAAGTGAGATGCCATGGGCAGTGATGCAGGCCAAGACTCTGTTTATGAGCTGTATGCACGAGTGTACGTTGCTATTTTTGTTTAATTAGATAGATATCAAAGAAACAAACGCTATAATCAGAAACATATTAATTAAAATATAATATATATAATATCCAAGTAATAATTAATAATAGTACGTGTAAAATATATTGTAAGTTAAATTTTAATGTTATATAAATTATCTTTTAATTTTGAATGTTTCTTATTAGAAGATAAATTTCAGATACCATGAATGAATTCGATTTGACTCCACTGTTCGATCTGTTGGAATTATTAAATTTACCTATGATACCGTTTGTTACTAATAAAACGACTAATTATGTCGAACAACTTGCAAGCGTAAAGAGAATTTTGGGCTTTAACATTTTCTTTAGCTTTGAAGTTATACCCGATCCAAAGAATAAGAGTAAGAACGTATTATATTTCTATGATCCGATTCGTTCCAATCCTTTTCTCGCGTACGTATACTTTTATTATATTTATAACAATATATTTATTTTAGATTATTATTTTTACATATTTTGCAAATTACTTAATGTTGTAATTAGTACACATAATAACAAATTTTTATATTATAATAATAATAGCGATAAAGAATTGGAAAAACGGTTACAAACCATCAGATCGCGATTGCGAAAATTGGATGAGTTAGATGATGATGTGTTGAGCGAGAACGAAGAGGCTGAATTTACCTATATGACTGATGTTATTAAACATATCATTAACAATGGCACTGATAATAAATGCATCTCAGATGAATCGATAGTTGAAGATGAAGAATTAAAAAAATTTATTGAGGGGATTTACAATATTAGCAATTATTTTTATTACGTAAGTATTTTTTTATTAAATTTTTTTTCAACATTAGTAATATATTTTATTACTATTTATAAATACAACTACATTTACATGTAACAAGTATTTTCTCTCTTAAAAGGTACTTTCAGATTGAATGTCTCCTCAAGTTCCGTTTTCACTTTTGCTCATTTGGTGAATCTGTTTTCAAGCGTAATCTGAGCACTTTTCTTGACTGGCAGTTTACTCAACATAATTACCGCACTATGATCAGAAGTTAGATCGAAGTAGTCCTCGACATGACAGTAATTAGCAGATATTCCTTTCAATATAAAGAAGTCGATTAGGTCTGGAAGTTTATTCGGGTCGATTGGCCAGTATGTGCAACCACCTCCCGACATATAACTTCATTTTAAATCCGTGCCACCTTTGAATAGTTCCCTACCTTTGGTGGTTATTAATCTTGAGCCAAAAAATCTGTGTTTGGCGTTGAAATCTCCTCCAATAATAAAATAGTTGCTTAGAGACTTTAAGAACATAGTGTACTCGTCTTTTTTAATATTATGTTTTGGCGGGCTATAAGCAGCTAAAATAGCATATTCGTGCCCTTCCAGGTGTACTTTGATAGTTACAGTCTGTAGTCATTCAATTATAAATTTTTGTTCTTTGTAGTGTTTTGTTGTGTCTTTCACTAAGATGGCGGCTTCACCTTTGGCTGTATCATCAGGATGGGGTGAATGATAAGTTTTGTAGTTTCTGATTTTTAGGAATGAATGTTTCGTATAGTGAGTCTCTGTAATTAAGCAAATATCTATTTTTTGTTTAGGAATAGTTATAGTTCCTGTAGTCTTTGTTTAAGACCATTAGTATTCCATAGGTAATAGGGCAATCCTGACTACATTAGCCATTTTTTAAATCTAGGAGCATTTTAACTTTGTTTTCAAAGTTTATAAGCCTTCTTTCAAATATTTCTTGGTTGTTTAGAATTTGCCGTAGCATTACTTCAACAGAGTTAACAATATCTTGGTTTTCTCGTTGCACTTTAGGTTTTAACTTCGAAACATTAACTTCTGTAATTGCTTGTGCATAGCTCAGCTTCTCATTTTGCCCCTGAGCCACCGACCCAGGAAGTACATTTTTGTATCACAAATACACATACTTCTTCATTATGGCAGTAATTTTTGGTGTGACCAAAGCTCTGACAATTTTTACATTGTTTAACTATTTCACCCTGGACACCAGGGCATACCTGGCAACGAGAAGGCGGACGGACTAGCAAAGCTGGGGACAGAAATGGACCCGGTTGAACAGACCGTCGGAGTTCCCTTCGCGCTAGGTAAAAGAAAAATGAAGGAAATGCTGGAACGAGAGCATTTAAGCTCTTGGAAAAAATTAAAGGGTGCAAACGGGTCAAGCAACTAATGAAACAACTCAACCTGGCCAAAACAAAAGAACTGACAGCAATGAGAAGAGACAAACTGAGAATGGGCATAGGCCTCCTCACAGGACACTTGCCCCTCAGAGCACACCTATATAACATCGGGCTAGCCGAGCAGAAAAATGTCGGCTATGTGGAGAAGAAAGCGAGGATAGCGTACACCTTCTGTGTCGCTGCCCTCTGCTTGCCTGCAAGAGATATAGATTCTGGAGCAACACGTTTCTGATGCCTGAGGATCTAGACGGAGTAAAGATAGACGACCTCATAAGCCTAGTACAGCATACGGGGTTGGACTGGACCACCTAATCTCTGAAGACAAACAGGGAATAACAATGGAACCTTAGCGATCTAGGTCACGTTAAGCGGCTGTCATAGCTCTACTTGTATTTTTACTACTACTTGTTGGGTAATTGCGTGTAAATGTCGGGATTTCCACTACCAATGCAATCGAGGCAATGTCGCCTCTTTCTTTTATTTTAGTGAGCCGCGGATGTGTAGGAACGTAGGTGATGTAAAAGATCTTTTACAAGGTTGAACGTGACTTAACTTTGATAAATTATTTAAGTAACTATTGGGCGATGTTTCGCATTGTACGGTAGAGCGAGAAGTGTTCTCTTGATTGTACAAAGAAAGTGACGAGAGCCTAACAACATTATTGGAGACATCTAGAAACCCGAAACTCTGCGAATATTTACGAGTATTCCCCAAATTTAAGAAACGTTACCTGCGAACGTGAGTCAGCGCGATTGTACTTGTATAATACCAAACAACTACTACTACTAACTATTTCAGGTTTAGTCCGCATTTCTTCTATCTTCACCCTAGTGTACAGAACATGTTTAATCTTAAAGATTTTCTTGAGATCCTCATTTCTGTTAAAAGTTAACATGTGCAGGGGAGCTTTAATTATAATTTTTTCACCTACATTACTGAGATTATTTTTCTTAATTTGGATATTGAGACATCAATGATATTAAAACCCATTTCCATGAATGCAGCTTTTATTTCCAAAACATCAACCAATCCGTCCAGACCGCGCATTATCACTTTATTCGGTCTATCTCTTTTATTTTCGTATAATTAATTCCTTTTCGTATAATCAATACCTTTCTTCTTCTAGGATGTTAGGCATAGCTCTGAAGTCATCTACATTATAAACATTAATTTTATATTTGCCCTTAGCACTTTTAGTAATTACTGGAGCAGATTCCAGTAATTACTAAAGGTGTTGAGGGCAAATATAAAATTAATAAAGATTTTCTTACTCAGCGTATTAATTATGTCCCTTATTATATTATAATCTTTTACATTAACTAAATTAAAAGGGGAAAATTTAGTATTTTTCTTATATACAATTTTTTTATCATTAGTGTACAAGCGAAACATTGTTTCTTGTGTATCGAATTGGTTTTTCTTCTTGACTCTTAGGTTTCCCGCTTTATCAGGTTTAGCTTGCTGATCTTCCAGAAAAGACTCTCAGCCTTCTTTTTTTTATAAACTTTTTTCTGATGAAGTCCCATCGGTGAAGGTTTCCTCTTCTTGCCAATTCCTCTTCGTCTGTATAAAAATCCTGTTTCATGTTAACGTTGTTATTAGCTTCCTCGTTAACAACAGTATTTGCAAACTGATGCTGATTGTCCTTATATTTATCCTCAGACTGAGCCCATTCATTTTTGTTCCGAGCTATTTTTACATATCATTTTCCATTTTGAGTAAGGAAATCTCTCTATTCAGCTCCACGCAAGTCTTCTATTTCTCTAATTTTAGCTCGAAGTTTTTCATTTTCCACCTTGAAGAGAATTTTCTCTGATGTGGTCTTTGTTTCCAGGTAGCTTCTTTGTGTAAGATAATTTGTGAGCAATGGTTGTCCCTCCTCCTCCCGCCTCCGCAGAGGGTGGATTGCCCAAGTCAATGCCTGAATTACTACCTGGGATAATCGATCCGTGTTTTGTTTTCTCCATTGCTTCTTTGTTACCCACTTAATAGTTGGTTATTGTTTTCTGTCAGGGTTGGCTCTCTTAGATAGGTTTTCCTTGGTTTAAAGCACCAGCATTTCGCCCTTCACCCTTCATCTATCTGCTGTGACAAGGTCACACCTAGGGTTCGCGAACAAGGACGCTAGATGGTTTACTTGGTATTATTTTTGTGTAACAATTATTTTTTTCGTTTTTTTACAGATTCGAAAATCCTTTTGCAGATTTAAAATATACGTATTATATATCTGTGAGGTGGAGTTTATGCCGAGAACGACAAAAAATTTTGAAATTGAAATCTTAAGAAATATTTTTTGTCGTTCTCGGTATAAATTCCACCTCACAGATACGTATTAAAGCGTATACTTTAATCCTGGAAAAAGATTTTTGAATCTGTAAAACAGGAAAAAAGTAATTGTTATACAAAAATTATGATTTAGTCGATAATACAGACGACTTGAGGATCCTTTTAATATGCACCAATCTTAGAACATATACTATTAGAAGAGGAATAGGGCGTTGAACGTGAAGCCAACATCTGTGCGAGAGAGAAAGATAGTAAGGGATAAATGTTCGCAATGCGCATGTGCAGCACCGTCGTCTGTGTGAATTGTACAGATGGTTTAATGTTTCTTACACATTTGTACATTTTACAGATGTGTAAGACGACGGTGCTGCGTGGTGTTGCGCATGCGCATTAAGAACATTTATCCCTTACTACCTTTTTCTCTCGCACAGATTTTTGCATCAGCGCAAGCCATGCAAATATGGGAAATATAGGCAATGTCCCTTTCATTTATGTATGTTCTAAGGCACCAATGCGCACTGATTGTGAGTACATTTACTCGAATTCATTATAAATAGTATAAATCAAATCTAACAAATGTTTTTGAGCAAGAAAAATTGTTAAAATAAAGATTTGATATTGTTAAAATGAAACTCTATTTTTAATACGGTCTATAATATTTGTTGCTAATTTTATTTTAAATGAAATTCCAAAATACAATTAAGATTTTGAAAATATTATACATATATTCAATTAAAAGAATATACAAGAATTTAATTCTTTGACAGACGGCTTATGCAAATCGAAATCAGAGTATTCCAAGAGAAAACTTGAGCGATAGTGATTATATGCTAGTAGACGATCTACAAAAATTGACAGATGATTATGTAATAAATAATAATTTATCTTTCACACCTACACCGATTTGGCGGCCTTTTATTGAATCTATTTTCGAGGGAATCGTTAAGTTGGATCTTGATAACAAGGATAAGGTTCTCATTGGTAATCTGGGGTATTTGAAAGATGTTGCATTACTACTAGCTTATTTCGAGGAAGAAGCCCTAGGTATGTATATTTCTGATTTATAATATATTAATCCTAATTTTTTGAATTAATTACATTACTTTGTTGTTATTTAAATTCAGTATTCACTTTAAAAAAACAATGTTTTCAAAATTCGAATCAATATTGATTTAGAAAGCTATATTTGGTGGACGGTTGTGGATATTGTGGTGCCTCAGGCTTCAGAAATACTCAGGGATATTTGGAAGAAGTACGTTAGCAAGGTAACAGACGTGGAAGTTATAGATGAATCACAAGCATTAAAATGTGGATTAGTTGTCAATCAATTAATGGGTATTTATTTAAAACTTCAATAAATATTTTCGTAAATAATACATATTCAACAAATACATCATCTAATTTTTTTTGTAATGCTATATTTAGATTTAATAAACATATCTTCGCAATTTACCTTAGGTGCTTTCAATTAATAATATCCATTGATTTAAAGGAATGGCTGTATCGTGGCTGTTCGTAGATCCAACATTTCACGAAAATAAAGCTAACAAAGTACAGGAAATGCTAGAGGATATAAGAGAGGCATTCGGCTCACTTGTCAGTAAAACAGATTGGATGGATCAATCGACGAAAACAGCAACAATCAAAAAGAGCCAAAAAATGGAGTACGTAATTGGATTTCCCACATGGCTCTTTAACGAGAAGAAGCTTGATGAATATTATAAAGGCGTAAGTTTTGTGAAAAATTAATTATAATAGTTATAAAACAATTTTCTGACAAAATAAGTTAAAAATTTGTTTTGCGGAAATTTTACACATTTAAAATTTCTCATTTTATTATATTAATTATTATCGTATATATATATATATATTTACGTTTATGTTTATTATTATAATATACATACTATATATTTAAGTTTATTTTATCTTATAAAATATAATAACATTATTTGTATGTAGTTTGCATAACATCGATCTGTTAATGTTTAGATAGACCTATCGGAAACAAGATATCTGGCGAATATAGTACAAATCGTTCAAGTGAAATTGAACAATAGGTGGGCAAGCCTGCGCGAAAATATATTCAATGAGTCATAGTAAGTAAAAAATTTTGGAAGTTGTTTTCTATAAAAATTAGTACTAAAGTTTTTTCTTTTTATTTATGCTTCGCTTTATTATGGATGATCAGTTGGGCAACTGATCCTACTGATGTAAACGCATTTCACACTTTTGAACTTAATCATATAAGTATGTAACAATTTAATTCTTTATTATTAAAAAAATGATTAACATACATACATTATTAAAAAAGGGGATTTAAAATTATATAAATATGTATAAAAAATATGCAATTTGTAGTGGAAATACATAAAATTTTTTTTTCAAAAACTTAATATTAATTTGTATAAGTATTTTATAAATGAAAGGTTATACATAATAATAATTGTATATTTTATAGTTTTCATGTATAATTTATGTATAGTAAATGTATAACTTTGTAATATTAGGTATACCGGGTGTTTTAGACAGCACCGATACATCCCTTTTATCTACGCAGTATAAGGTCCAATCATAAAAGTGTTCAGACAAATGTTGTAAGAATTTTCATTTTTGCACTAAAAATTCATTTTTACGTAAAAATGAAAATAAGAGGAATAATCTTCAATGACTTTGATCTTAACAAATGTTATCCAGGACGTGATCCTGAACAATATTCAAGAGGTTTTGAGAGTCGTCGGTCGAACATCTTGCGTAATGCTAATGCCGGCGGTACTGTAACTTTCGAACCTTATAACTCGAAAAAATATTTTATGAAAAATAACTTTATTGAACTGTTTTGAAAAGCTCTCGATATCGGCTGTTAGATATTGGAATAAAAAGTTAGGTATTACATTTAAAAAAATCGACGTGACCTTGACCTGACCTTGGCAAGGCCACCTAAGGCCAAACTATGATAAGATCAGTAGATCTTTTTTAGTAAATAGAAACCCTACAACTTTTGTCTGAACACTTTTACGATTGAACCTTATCCTGCGAAGATAAAAGGGATGTACGAATGGTCTGAAACACCCGGTATAACGTATTTTCATAATACATAACGTATATTATATTTGTATTTTTATGTTCGTACATATCAGTAACACAAAAAAATTGTACGTAATTTGTTGGCGAATTTTCTGTAAAATAAAAAATATATGTATATATTTATACAATTACGTATATTTACACACAAGAGACTGTTTTTTTCAAATAATTTTTGAAAAAAGCACGGTTTTATATATTTCCATTATAAATTGTGTAATTATTTATTTAATTTTACATGCTTCTTTACAATATAAATATGTTATATTATTAATAATCTGTTAGTTGAAAAAACTGTCTTTTCTTTTATTGTTGCATCAATGTTATATTAACATATCCTTTCTTCTTTTACTACTCATACATACAGCCATACCTGCTGGAATTCTTCAATTCCCATTTTATGACTTGGGTCTTGAGTAAGAATAGAAATAATTACTTTTATTATTATCATCTTTATGTATAAAAAATAATACAAAAACAAATATACAAGTAAAAAATAAATGTAGAAAATAAATAGTAGAAAGTATAAATTCTTCATAAAGTTATCATATAGTGAGAAAGAAAGAAATTAGCATTTTTTTAAATAATTTCAGGGCTTTAAATTATGGCGCCATTGGCGCAGTAATTGGACATGAATTAACTCACGGATTCGACAATAGAGGTCGGCTTTACGACGGCGACGGAAATCTCCGGCAATGGTGGACTAAAGAAACCATCTCAAAGTACTTGGACAGATCTCAGTGCTTCATACATCACTATAATACTTATTACGAAGTGGAGGTAAGTCTAGTAACTTTATTACAAAGTGTTTGGTATTAAAAAAAGTTTATTTAATAAGATTTTATCTTTTAAGAAAGATCTTTTAAGAAAAATAAAAGAAGTGATAAAATAAAACAATAAGAAGGAGTTAAAGTATTAAATAAATGGATATTTCTAAAAAGTCTATTTAAACGTTATTTAAATTTTAATTAAAGTACTTAATTTTATTAAGGCGATATTTTTTAAATATTTAACGTTTTATGTCTATCGATATACTTGGGTCATTCAACTTCTTAAAACTAAAGCTGATTTTTACATTTAGGATTAATTTTTTAATGTAAAAATCAGCTTTAGTTTTAAGAAGTTGAATGACCCAAATATATCGATGAGTTAATGATATGTCTTGCATAGGTTGATGAGTACATCGATGGCGAATTGACCTTGGGAGAAAATATCGCCGATAATGGTGGCCTTCGCGAAGCTGTCGTCGCTTATAAGAAGTGGAAGGCTCGGCATGGTTATGAGCCTTTACTTCCGGGATTAATGCAGTTTACACACGAACAGTTATTTTTTCTTTCTTTTGCGCACGTAAGCCAACATTCCAATTATAACATAGTAGTCAAGTCCCAATCATCTTGTCTAGGTATATCTAAATAAAAATCTCTTGGCTTCATGAAGTTTTCGAACGCGCTCAAGGTAGTAAAATAAAAATTTAACGAATTAGTAAAAAAGACGTTTTAAGTAATATTTTAAACTTTTTGTTTACGTATTAATTTCCATATTCTTATCAGTTTTACATTTTTATGGAAAAGAAGTTGTTTTTAATCGTTGTTTATCCATATTTAAATAAGGGATTTAATGATAAAGTCGTTGTTTTCCTTAAGGTTTAAAGAGTAGAAAAATAAATCCGGAATTCCCAGACTTATCTGATTCATATTCAAATTAAATGTATATCTTTAAATTGTAAAATTCTTCGATGATTTGGTAATCAACAGTTTATAGAACTAGTTTTATCTCTGCTTGTTTTTCATTTTCTGTCCTATTTAAATTCAAATTCGATTATACGAAATAAATAAAAAATAAAGACTGCAAGATCAATAACGATAAATTACAATTAGCATATATTTTTCATGTAATAGCAGTAAATTGATTGATATTACCTACCTAGAGTTAATTCCGTTCTTTTAATCTACTTGACTTTTAATCTACTTTATGATATTAAGACTGTTCCTCTATATAATTATGTGGCATGTAACATGAAAACATTTTCGCTTTTGCTAAGTAGGTATCTATACATATATCATCTCTTTATTAAATAAGTTCTTTGTGAAAATTGCTTTTAGTGTTATTCAAGTTATGAATAAATGTTAATTATTTCACTATTTTAGTTGTGGTGCGAATCTTATACTGCTATATCACTAAGATGGATGATGAGAGATCCTCATTGTCCCAGTCATGTGAGACTGCAAGCTGTGCTGAGAAATTCCAAAGAATTTAGCACTGCGTGGAATTGTCCAGCAGGTTCGAACATGAATCCATCGAAAAAGTGTCGTTTGTGGTAAAACTTGCGTCTTCGACAAAGACAATGTTTATTATTTAATATCGTTGATTAATCAAATGTTTATCATTTATGAGACCAGCAAGCTCGCGTGCAAAACAATAATAATCTAGCGTTAATTAAAACAATTAATTTTTTATCTTGTGGAACTCATGATAAATTTTGCAATAATACCAAATAATAAATAGAATTTTTTATGCTCTCTCTGTCTATTTCGAATTTAAATAAGTGAGAATTAATATAGATTTACAGAATTTTGTGCATGTGCTGCAATCGCTTTAATTATTGTTATCCATTCGTTATATAGTGTGTGACGAATTATTTCTATGTAATTTCGTAAAGTTTTTCGCACTGATACGTTGGATACAACCTATCAAGAAATCTAAAAGTGATCCAATAATGTTTGTAATAAAAAAACTTAATTTCCGTAAAAAAAGTATTTTCTAACTTCTATAATCCTATTAATTTTAATAACGTTTGGACAATTTTTGAATGTCTATTCGATACCTTTAATTTTGTGTCATTCCGATTTTATAGAATCTAAAATTATATTAGTATGATATAAATGTTTTACGTTTTATTTAATTAATTTCTATCTTGTCTTTGATCGCTGCAATTATTTATATTTATTTCCGATAAGAGTAGAATATTGGATTAATGAAGAAGTTTTTTGTTTTTTGGTTTATTAGTGTGCAAAAATGTCCCGTAGAAAGTTATTATTTATAAGAAACTAAATTCAAAAGATAAATTGAAATTAGAAATAAAACAAAGAGAAAGAGAGTCTGAGAGACTGTATAACATAAGTAAACAGTGAAAATTTCGACAATTTTATATGTACATGTTAATAGAATTATGTGATAAAAATTGAGTAGGAAAATTTACAATTAAGATTTAGAGAAGTTTTTTTTATATATTAAGTAAAATTATAAACTAATTATTACATACGTAATTCTCTAAAAGCTTATAAGGATCGAATAATAGAAATATTTTGACAATTTTAGTACCATTAAAATATAGCTTAAAATTTTTCTAAAATGTATCCGGACACTAATAGGGTACTTACCAGCGATCGACTTTTTTATAGAAATATGTTTACTTCCATGTTATCGTTCATTCATGGTCAATCATCTATGCAAATGATGACGCATGAAAAAAAATGCGGAAAAAGGTATAATATTATTACACACTGTAAATATATACTTATTTATAAAACATTTGTATAATAATGATCTGCATAATCATAAATTTAATATTTTATTTATTAGATTGGCAATCATAAAACAATCAATATCTACATTTTTCAATTATTTTCAGATTTACCGAAACCAATTGATAAATATGAAAATTTATTTACAATTTTCGTCTTTAATAGTATCTTTAGTTGGTACTGAGGAAAAGAAAGACCTTCCCAATAGCTTCGATTTAATCGAAGGTATATAGAGAAAAAGATTTCTTTGGATCTAATATTCCTATTTATTTGACTAAAATTTGTTTTATTGAAACAACATATGCTTTTACGAAATATTATTTGTTTGAATAAAAATTTTGTTGTTTCATTCGAGAAACCTCTATTGTTTGACAAAAATCACATTATTATTTGAAGTAATATCTTTCAATCAAATAATATATTATTTGGTTGAATACAAACAATGAAACAAATTATTTGTTTGAAAATAGCAAAATATATTAATAGAGGTTATGGTAGAGGTTATGATAGAGGTCCATGCAATTGTCTTCTTAAAACAATCATTATATTTTTTGACCGAAATTACGAAAACAATGGCTTTTTACTAACTACGTCTAACAATAGGATTAAACGAACAGTACTATATGCTATATCAATTATGTTTGTGCAATACAATTTGATCACGCGAATGCCGAAGATAGACATTATCTGTTCAAACAAATAATGTATTAAGACAAAGATATACATTGTTTCAAATTCAAAACAATCGCACTTATTGATTTAAACATTGGTTTGTTTGGATCATTCCAAATAAATTTATTTGGATACAATAAAATTTATTAAATCCAAAGAAATCTTTTTCTCTGTGTATGAGTATCATCAGGAAAGTAACTAGTGGAAGCTTTTAAACATTCTTCTTTTACATGTGAGGTTAAGTGTCAATCAAAATAAACTACATATTATAAAAGAAAAAGCACAAGCGAACTTTCCGATTAACTTGACACTTGAGGAATAGTCATTGTTGAATAATCCTTCCGTGTAATATGTATTTCTATTAAGAAATTCCAGTAGCTTATTCAACGTTCATTACAAAATAAACATTCTAGTATATGTAACCACCGTTGGAATCGGTGGGTTGCACATATTCCTGCTTGTTGTTTGTGGCAGAAGAAACAATACATCCAGCACACGCGGTGGAGGGCTTATACGCTTGTTTGCTCGGTTGCACGACGATGGGCTTGACTTTAATAGGTTCAGTCTTCAGCACTGGATTATCAACCGTAACTGAGTCGCTGCTGGTCGAAGAGGGTAACACGTTAACTTGGGAGGATTGAGGTTGCTGCGGTAGGAATGGTATTGTGGATATAGAGGATATGGAGGATGGTATGAAAGGCAGAGAGGGCAACTCGAAGTTTTCGAACGGATTCTGGAAGCTCTCCAGAGGACTTGAGAAAGTCGGTAGGTTTCCCAACACGTTTTGGAACGTCAATTGAGAATTGTCGAAGAAGGTCTGCACTGGATTAGCCTTGGTATCCACCGTCACGTGATGACCAATTGGATGAATAATTGACTGAGCAACTGGAACGCTGGTTTTTACGTAATGATGAACGGGGTATGGCACTGGACGAGGCACTTCTACGGGGTACGGACGATCCACGGTGACCTGAACAGGCTGGGGCACGCGGACGTAGTAGGGTTTAGGAACTTCGACGGTATGCGGAACTGGAACGGGAACAGCGACATGCTTGGTCACCGGTACTTGATACGGGTGAGGTACTTGCACTTGCAGATGGTGATCCACGGTTTTCAGGGGTATGTTGTTGTACGAGGAATACGAGGCGTAGCTGGGGAAGGTGTTGAAAGAAGAAATTAAGGAGGACACACCTGAAACAGAAAAAGTATCCCATTTTCGAAGCGTTTATTTAATTTATCTTATATATAGAATTTTATTTATATAATTCTTTTTTTCTCCAAGGCGAATAATACAAAAAAATTAACTGCCAATTCTTTATCTAATATTCGAAAAACGCAAATCTCTACAGCAATAAATTAATGATAATTAAATTAGTAAATAAATTAGTAAATAAATTAGTAAATAAAATAATTATAATTAAACAGAATAATTAAACATACAAATAAATTACCAATTAAATATATTTTATACTTATATATTTTTTTATTTTTGAACATTTTTAAAACTTTTTACTTTGATATTTCCTAATTTATATATTTTTCATGCTAGACACAAAAATGCAGAGTTTAAAGAAATATATCTTTCTTTTTAATCGAAAGTAAAGTGAATAAATACTGTGAGGTTAAAGAAACTGTTTCCAATTATATAACATAATAAATATTCATATGTTGAGCATACATCTTTGTATACATTTTCGATGAAAGGCGAGCAAATCACTTAGACCGTGACAAGTGTTTTCATATATCATTTCAATATTAGTCGAGCGTTGAAATATTTCTACGTGACTCTAGTGATCGGCTTCGAACGGCAAAACGGTTGGACCGTTATTAAAACTTGAAATCTTCCAAATATCTTATGTAACGTGGTATACACGGTATTCTTTTTACAAGTCTAATGTAAATTTAGGAGAAGAGCCGTAAATTATCAACGGGCGCGGCACTGCGGAAGGAGATCGATAAATTCTCTGATAGATCAATGCTCACCTTGGGTCTCAGTAGGCAAATGAGAAGTCGACACCTTCACTTGCGGAAGGGAGACGGTTTGCGGAGCGGTTTCCACATGCTTGTGAACAACTGCTGGCTGTTTCTGCACATGCACGGTATCGAATTTCGGATGTTCCTGGACGGTCGTCTATGGAAAATTCAATATTTACACACGTATTAAAAAATTGTATGATGAAAGTATAGAATACTAATAATAAATACATATATTAATAATGAGCACAATGAAAGCATAAAATCTAAATTTTGTTACAATATCAAAAAATCAGAATTCAGCATAAGATTAAAAAGATATTCAAGATTAAAGTAAAAATGAATAAGCAGGATGATGGATGCACAGCTAATATAATGAATTAAGATTTTAAACGAATTAATTAACGAATTTGTGTAAAATTATGATTGTGAAGAGATGATGTATCATACATACTTTTATAGCGGCAGAGTTTTTGTCATCAACGGATTCAAAGAAGTTGGTGAGAATCTGCATAGAAAAGCAAATCCTAATTAATGCAACGATTCATTAAATAATAAATTTTCATATACAATACTGTACCTTTATTAATGAATTTTAATAACTTTACTGTAAGGAATAGATAATTTCATAACTTTTGCTCTTCTATCAGAACTGTATTTATGGTAAATTCAACACGACTGAACGATTTTGATGAGTTTTTTTAGTTACCTGAGTGGTAGCGGGTATTCCATAGGAGGTGGATGGCACGAGGATGGAGGGAGTTTTGTCAGCATCACTAGTCGTGAAGAAGTCAGCTCCCAAAGGCTTACCGGGTGTGTGACTAGGCGGTCCGTAGATTTGCTGAGATTGTACCTGGAATGAATGGTCCTCTGTGTCGTCTGGAACCGTGTAAGAACCTATATAGCCGCCGGCGGCTTTTAAGATTTGTACCTCATTTTCGTGCTCGTGATGATGATCGTGCTCAGTTCCGTAGCGTGGATCGCCCGGTAGAATGTCCCTCTTTTGCTTATCGGCTGGCGCTGCTAGAGTTGCCGCGAAGCAGACCTGAAAAATATAACATTTAGCACATATCAGTAAAACAAGATTAAAAAATATAGTTTAGAAAACATAATACAGTATTTTATTGTCTGCACGTGTGACGTAGAATAATATCAAATATGTATATTAATAAAATAGAATATAAAATCATTTTAGAGAGGTGTTTATTAATTGTTTACATTATTTATATCATTCTTGTTGACAAGCTGACGGAATTCTCTTCATTTATCGTTTTGCAATTTGTTATTCAATTTTAAATCGGCCTCGGCAATTAAATTTAAATATTATGAAATTGATACGAGGTTCATGCATTTTAATGAATGCAAAAATATTCGTATTTAGACTTCCATGCGTCCCACGACATTTATTCGCGCAATTAAATGAATTTTTTTGTTTCTTGAAAGATCACAAAATGCAAATGTGATATTATTGATAATTTACGATAGAAGCGGGTCATAATTTATTTAATACATAATTAACAATTCCTTGTCTTAAAAAAATGACTATTTCCTCACACATAAAACATTTATTCTTTAATTTAAAATTAATTATTATATTACTAAAAAGAAATGTTTATTCACCTTCATTTTTTCATAAGTAAATATTGTTATATTATAAGTTATATTTTTTAACTGATTTACTTAATTTTTATTTGAATATGTTATTAAGTATTATCAAAGTTTAAACATTTAAAAAACTTCCTTTTTTTACCTAAATATCTTTACAGTTTAATGATAATGATTTGATTATAATTAAAATCATATAGCTTATAAGTAATAATTAATTAAATATATTGTGCAATACTGTAGATTCTAGACGAAGCAACTTCACACTTTTGTTTTTATGTTCTATACTAAACTGATTTATTAATCTCAATTTATAAAACCAAATTGCAAACAGATTTCTCTTAAACTGTATTTTACTTTTTAATGAAATGTTGTAGAGGGAGGGAGTTAGAATTACAACTTAAAAATAGGCAAAAGGTCGCAGATTCGTTTTTGTGAAACTTGATATCTATAATCGCAATTTTGGGACTAAGGAGAAAGATGGAAGTGAGCCGGTCTCTCTTACCACAAACGTGAACAGGAGGAGCTTCATGTTGTCGTATGATGTCAAGGCGATGAGTTGAACATCTGCCTGGAGACATTTCGATCTTTTATACTTTGGAGTCTTCCTCCCCCCAAGACGATCTTCCTTCGCATGTTGCAATCCGGTGGCATTGGCAGAACTAGATTTTTTAATTTACTCCACCAACTTCTCTCGCACATTCGCTCGCTTGTATTCTTTGACACTGCTCTCCGAAATTTCTGAATAAAAGACTAACGCGGACATTTTAGCGACGGTTGTTCTCATTGCTGTTCTTTGTCAACCGGTCCCTAAAAAAGGCTCCCGTCTTTCAACGAGCATTCGGTTAAAGCTAATTTCATGAAAATGATCACGATAATTTATGCAAATGGATATACGTCAGTTCCACGCTTCGTGGATTTTTACAGTCCATTGGCCTTTAGCTTTTTCTTGTTTTTTTTTGCTTTTTCATTCTTTTTCTCTTTCAAATTCAAATCACACTCATACTTCTCCAAATACTCAGTATTATCACTAAAAGAAACGTGAGAGGCTTTTAAAGGATGAAGAGCGAATATAAGCGGCCAATTTTCATAAGGTTTAATGGACCGCATTGCATCTTGATCGAAATGATTTCTGTCTCAATCCTTTAATTACAGCACTGATGTATTTTTCTTGTCGGCTGATTGGATATTAAAATACTCTCTCAACAGTTTTTGATATATTATATATGACTAAGTGATGATTAGCTTATTTCGTTACAAAACATTGAGATAAATCGACGTGATTAATCATTTCTTAAATAATCAGGCTTTATGTCATTCTTATGTATTCTTGAAAATATTATTTTATCTATATTAAAAATAATAATAATAATACTCTTGAGGCTTTCACGGGCACTTTCTACGTAGAAATTATGCGTTTCGCGAGTTAAAATTCTCCGTGTCCAAATCCATTTTTGGATGTCAACGTTTCAGCATTTTAAGAATGGGTTTGGACACGGAGATAACTCGCGAAACGCATAATTTCTGTAATAATAACAATGTTATAAAAATGAGAGAAAGTCAAAAGTTTAAAAAGGGAATAAAATAATAAAATATTTATAATACGGAACATTCCAGAGCAGTTATTAAATCAATAAAATTTAAACAAAAATAAATTTTTATTTAATAAATTAATTCTGAAATTATTTATAAATTTACACAATAAATTAATATTATAGTTAAAAATACAAGTTTTGTATAAAAATAGTAGAACATAAAACAGCACTTATTAAATATATATCTAGTAATAATTATTTACAATTATAAAAACTTATCAAGCGTAGAGATGAAAAAATGCAGAACTCTCTTAATGACTCTCTGTTTTATAAAAACTTGGAAGTAAAGTTACAAAGTCAAAATATTGTTGAAACAAGGCCGTTGCTTATAAATTGGTAATTTAATGACAATGACACACACTTAGAAATTTCTTTTGTAACATATCAAGTCACTAACTATCGATACACACAAATATATAAAATAAATATAAATAACATTTTATATAAAATTTTGAAATTTTATATTTTAAGTACATACAAATGCACGGATATCACATATCTATTTTTAGTTAACTCGTGAGAATAAATAGAAATCTATGTTTGTAATAAATTCTTTGTAATCGTAATCTTTAATAATTATGCATTTTTTTAAATTATAGAACAGTTTTATTTCTATTTTCCAAAATTAAATTGTGAAAAATATCTTGTTAATTAATAAATTAATAATTAAAAGTTTAAAAATTAATAATTAAGTTTAAAAATAATTAAAAGTTTTTAGATTACTGTTTATATATTTCTTTTTGTTTTTTTCATATACTAACTTACTTGCAAATAAAAGCAAATGGGAGAAGAACTTGATGTAAAAGGATTAAATAGTGTATGACTGACATGTTCAAAGGAGATACGTCCAAAATGTGTCAAGCAAAAATCAATGCACTCAGCTTTCAGATGCAGTTTGCATAAACTGACCCGAAAGTTAATTGACACGCTCGGGTGGTCTCTGTCTCGATTGAAAAGGAGATGATAAGATGATAAAAATATAAAAATTTGCTGTGGTCGATGACACTTTAATCTTCTCCTTTAATCTTCTTCGATTATCTCCGATCATTCTCAACTCGAAAATATGAAAGTGGCATATAAATATATATATATATATAATTTATTTTACACAATTTTAAATTCGAAATTGAAAAATTTATAATGTATCTTGTTTAAAAAGCTTTTTACAAAAATAACTATGTGTTATACAAAGCCTTTTATAATTCTTAATAATTTTTTATGATTTTTGTAATCTAAAATATTATAATAGCATGATACATTATAAACATTTTTTATATATTATAAACATAATATATAAAAATTTAAGTAATACTTAATATCTAATTTAGAATTCTCTAATATTAATTTTCTATTTAACACAAACTATATAAAAATGATTTACTATAATTATTAAATTTTCGAATTTTGTAAGAAATAGATTGTGTGGATTGTTTTTAATAAAACCTGTAAAAATTAAGAATAGTCTTATCGAAAAAATCTCTGCAACCGAGATGTACTCTTGAAGCAGAAATTCGACATGCCTTAATAAATTACCTTAACAATAAAATATCTTAATAAATTAATCGCTGAGAGATTGGGCATTTCTATAATGAATAATCGCATTAATTCAAAGCTTTGGAATATTTTTTATCGATTTGTTCTCGTGCTAAGGCTAGTTCTGTCATAAATCGGATAGCATAATATTACTTAACTTATCAAGCTACCAACAGAAATTAACTTTCTTAATATGCACATCCTCTCTTCTGCTAATTTGTTATACTATATATGAAAAAGGAAACGAGACAATCCAATATTTTAAGATAATATTAGCATCAACTTTCCGATTTTCAATTAGATCTTCAAATTTACAGAAAATAAAAAAATAAATATTTATTCGATTTAAAAAAGTTATATTTAAATTTTTTAAATATAATTTATTTTTAATTTAACAAATATTTATTTACTGTAAGTAAATGGCTCCGTTGGTGCTATCTAAACAAATATTTATTCAAATTTCGTAAATTTTTTTTCAGTGTATATATACATAAAGTAGCAAAGAAATGTTTATAATATAATTTACAGAAGAAATAATAAAAAAACAAAAAAAAACTAGGCGACAATAGATTAAAAACCGACATATTTTTGTAATATTTATGTACATAAATTAATTTTACTCGGTGGCTACTTCGTATAGACGAGGACAGGTCCTGTAGAATCGATCGGCCGAGTTACATCTTTTATGACCAAAGCGATAAAGTTAACTGTGCAACCTTGGCGGCAGCTCATCTTTGCCGAAACTTGTGATATTTTGATCGCATCCGGTCAGACTCGTTTACTAAAAAAGGAAAAGGAGATGAAAAAAATATTACAGTAGTTTCGTATTCCAAACTAATTAATCTCAACTCTTCGGGAAGAGTTGCATAATTGACGAGAGGTTAGACTTTTTCAGACCATCTCGAATTGATATTTTTAAAAAGGTGATCCATGCCATATCTATTTAAGAAATGGAAGTAGACAATTTCGTAAGAACAGAGTAAGTGAAATTAAAAAAAAAATTTGATAAACTCTCTTAATAATTGTTAATTAATTAATACATAGTAATTTTATAGTATAATAAAGAAACAATAACATATAATTAAAATTATAGGGAAGACCGAGGTAGTAGACTATAGGGGTAAGTAGAATAATGGAGGCTACATTAAAAACAAAACACACGAGACAAACGTTAACGTGTTTGAGCACGCAGCAACGACAGCCGCTCAGTCTGCTGTAACATCTCATTGCGAACACATCTGTGATAGAAATTACGCTATAATTTAAAAAAATCATACACCTAAGTAAATATTTTTATTCTTAAAGTTTTTGTTTTACAATCGATTGTAAAACATATGATTTTCTGAGATATTTCATTTCTATTTAGATAGTAAGTGTAATTCTTACTTAATAAAGTCTAACAGATTCTTTTTGTCTTTTTTATTATATTAATGTTTTTTCGTATGTTATTGTTTTTAAAAAATGAATGGATGGGGATAGTAGGCTAATCACAGCATGGAACTGTATGACTCATCTAGTGACGATTCTTATAGTAGAGGAAGGTTACCGATACTGACATACCACTTTGTTTTTAGATAATATTTCTTAAATAAAAGGTAAAAATACAACTTCAAAAACATAAATACAAATTAAAAAGTATTTTCTATCAGATATATAGTATAAACAGTTTTTATAATACTGTTTGCAATTTTGCAATAATTAAGTTTTTCGTAAGTTATGCAAAAATGAGCGTCTGACAAAATGGGCTCTAAAACTGACATAGTAGATAATAATGCCAACATTCCTTATTCTATAAATAAAGATATATCCTATTCTGTAAAGAGAAAACTAATTTATGAAATTATAAACATTTAAAATGACATAATATTATCAATAATACGGTAACTATTATTTTAATTACGCAATTTGCAAAAGAACAGCGTAAGAATTTTCTTCTCGGATTCATAGAATTTGTTTTTAGCTGATTTGATATAGAAATAAGCCACAAATACATGAATTATGAGTTTGTACTTCTTTAATTAGCTAAACAGATCACGTTTTTATTAGTATTAATAAGGTGCAAAGATTAGTTTCTAAGAAATAAGGGGATGTCGCTTTAGGAGACCTATGTCAGTATCGGTGACATCCTTCCTCTACTTATTTAATATTTCATTTCTTTAAAGAGATTTACCTCAGTGGTAAATGTTATAAGTTTAGTTCCCTCACGTCTAATTTCGATAAAACTAGGCTCATTCGATGTGTTTTTGCACGAAACGAACGAATTTAGCAGAAAGAAGCATTGTTCTGCCCTGCGAAACGAATGTTTGTGTTTAAAATATATTTTTATGAAAGTTTTAGTAACATGTAGCTAAAGATGTAGCTTAAAATACATTAAACTTCATTTTAATAATCTTAGTCAAGTTACCCCATACCATTAGTCATCTTACCCCGGTCCCGGGACTAATTGAATCAGATGGAAT